ACTTAATAAAGACTCACTGTTTGTGCATAGAGACCAGGATTTAGCGCTGTAGCAGGTCCTGCATGCTGCGTTAGCATGGGTACAACCCATTCATTTGAATGCACTTCTGTACCTGTGGGAAACACAAGGAAAAATTTGCTGACCCCTTTTTAAAAATGCAACCGCATAGTGTAGGAGCACCCAAAAACGAGATGTGTTTTCTGGTGCATGGGGGGGAGGCATTAAAAATGAATGGCTTCCCCACACCTCTGCAAAAGAGCAGTGTCCTTTACCTGCAGATAGGGAAATGCATGTGATTTACACATATTCCCAGACCCATTACAGTGTGAACCTAGGCTAAGGAGCTGAGTGCATTTCTGGTAGATCAACAGGTAATTTTTCATACCTACAAGGTCTTTACAGGGGTAAAACACAGGGAAATGTGCATGTATTGCAGAGATGTACTACATGTTTTTTGTCTTGAGTACACATAACTAGATAGCCTTAGACTACCCAGGTACTGCAGGTTTCACATATGCATTTTCACAATATTTTGACTTTAGAATCATTCACTTACTTTTTCTTTATTTTAAGGAAGTAGTATAATTTTAGGTTAGTGCTGGTTAACAGTAAGGAGTTTAATCAATAGATTCCATTGATTTAAAGGCAGACAGAAACAAACATTAAAGCATAACTAAACCCTCCTATCCTTTACAGTCAAGGAAGCTGCCATATTAGCCTTTGTTTAATCTGCAGTTGCCATAGTGCTACACACGTGATCAGTTATCACACCAGTCATTTGTCCAGACAGTTTGATTGAGAGCACAAGCACTTGTGACAGTTATATAGTACAACTGTACTCATTTTATCAAAATCCCAGCCACAGAAATCATTTCAGATTATTATTTGGTAATGACCAATGGCCTCATTAGCATGGCATTTTAGTGCCAGCTGTGGCAAGAATCCAGTGTATCCCTGTGGCTGGATTCACAGGTGGATGTGGATAGTTGTAGTCACTCAGCCTGTACAAAGCAATGACAGACTGATAGTGGCCCAAGCTGTGCAGGTGCTTGCATGTAATCACACATGAAGTGATTACCTGCAGTTAGGAACAGGAGATCATGTGCTATTACATTTGAAAGTTTGCAGACAGCTAAGGCCACTTTCAGCCTGTCATTTATTTGCTGCAAGAATCTGGATGTCATGTGAATGAGGCCTAAAAGTCATCACATAAAAAAGTAACTTGCTATGAGAATAAATAGCAAGTTAGTTTCACTTTTGCATACTGCAGGGCACAGTAGAAATAAAACCTATTGTCTTAACACTACAGGTGTCTAATAATAATAAGTATTTGGAGAAAGCACCTGATAGATAGAGGGCTGCAGAGGTGTCACTTTTCTCAGTATAAGAACAGCCATGCATAATCATAATTTTAACTGTTTTAAGATACATATGATCTGTTATGATTTATATACCTCAACCACATAGCAGTAGTTAGTCTGTGTTTGACCCCGGTTGTCAAAGGCCAACAATGGAGGTTTATGTTAAAAAAATACAATCTATTTCACAGGTGCAGTGTGTGTGTGTGTGTATATATATATACATATATGTATATATATATGTATATATATATATATATATATATATATATATATATATATATATATACTGTATATACATGAGGGATGAACTGATACCCTTTTTTGATTGGTGAGTATGAGTACTGATACTTTCTGTCAAATACTCACTGATACCAAGTACTGATAGTTTGCGGTGTGATTTGCATCAATGCAAAATGTATGTACCACAAAGAATGGCGTGCAATTTGAACAGGAATGTCAAATTCACATGCATTTTCCCCACTGCTCCTGTGTGAACCCAGGAGCGGTGCGGGAAACCTCCCTGCACCAAACCTATGCTTTCACAGACGGAAAAGCTGGGATTTTGAAATCCCCATGGCTTTCTCTCCTCTCAGTGCAAGGAAAACAGTACGGGCTAGACTGCATTTGATTTGTCAAGACTGTCATAGTGCTGACCAATCAGAAGCCGTCTAGCCCGTACTGTTATCTCTGCAAGGAGAGGAGAGAAAGCCACTTCACAGGTCTGGGGATTTGAAATCCCGACGGATTTCTAACCTCTCCTTGCAGGAATGACAGTATAGTCTGCACGAAAGCCGCAGGGATGTCAAATACCCGGCTTTTCCTTCTGTGACAGCATGTGTTTGGTGCAGGGAGGTTTCCCGCACCGCTCCTGTATGAACTCAGAAGCAGTGGGGAAACTGCATGCTATTCTTTGCGATATAATTTGTGTCCATATAGTTTGTATTGATGCAAATCGCACTGCAAAGTATCACTTTCAGGTACCCGTGAAAATACTCAGTATGACAATACCAGTATCAGTGCAACCCTAATATATATACACATATAGTGCCAATAGTATTGGGATGCCTGCCTTTACACACACATGAACTTTGATGGTATCCCAGTCCATAGGGTTCAATATTGAGTTGGTCCACTCTTTGCAGCTAGAACATCTTCATATCTTCTTGGAAGGCTGTCCACAAGGTTTAGGAGTGTATGTATGGGAATGTTTGACCATTCTTCCAGAAGTGCATTTGTGAGATCAGGCACTGATGTCAGACGAGAAGGCCTGGCTCCCAGTCTCCACTCAAATTCATCCCAAAGGTGTTCTATCAGTTTGAGGTCAGGACTCTGCAGGCCAGTCAAGTTCCTCCACCCCAAACTCACTCATCCATGTCTTTATAGACCTTGTTTTGTGCACTGGTGCGCAGTCATGTTGGAACAGCCTCCCTGTTGGAACAGCCATCCCCAGACTGTTCCCACAATGTTGGGAGCATGAAATTGTTTAGAATGTCTTGGTATGCTGATGCCTTAAGAGTTCCCTTCACTGAAACTAAGGGGCCAAGCCCAACCCCTGAAAAACAACCCCACACCATAATCCCCCCTCCACCAAACTTTACACTTGGCACAATGCAGTCAGGCAAGTACCATTCTCTTGGCAACTGCCAAACCCAGACACTTCCATTGGATTGACAGACACAGAAGTGTGATTTGTCACTCCAGAGCACAGGTCTCCACTGCTCTAGAGTGCAGTGGCAGCGTGCTTTACGCCACTACATCCAACGCTTTGCATTGCACTTGGTGATGTAAGGCTTGGATGCAGCTGCTCGGCCATGGAAACCAACACCAAGAAGCTCTCTCTACGCACTGTTGTTGTGCTAATCTGAAGGCCATACAAATTTTGGAGGTCTTTAGCTATTGACTTTGCAGACAGTTGGCAACTTCTGTGCACTGTGAACTTTAGCTTGTGCTGACCTTGCTCTGTCATTGTTCGTGGCTCAGTTGCTGTTGTCCCCAGTTTTTTCCACTTTGTTATAATACCACTAACAGCTGACCGTGGAATATTTTGTAGCAAGGACATTTCACGGATGGACTTATTGCACAGGTGGCAACCTATCACACAGTACCATGCTTGAATTCACTGAGCTCCTGAGAGTGACCCATTCTTTCACAAATTATTGTAGAAGCAGTCTGCATGCCTAAGTGCTTGACTTTATACACCTGTGGTCATGGAGGCAATATAGCGCACAGTATATGTGTATTTATATATATATATATATATATACACTCACCGGTCACTTTATTAGGTACACCTTGCTAGTGCCAAAAAATATCCCCCACACACCATTACACCACCAGCCTGAACCGTTGGTAGGCAGGATGGATTCATACTTTCATGTTGTTGACCCCAAATTCTGAACCTACCATCTGAATGTCACAGCAACCAGTCTTCCCATTCTTCTCTGACCTTCGACATCAACAAGGCATTTTTGTCCACACAACTGTCGCTCACTGAATATTTTCTCTTTTTCGGACCTTTCTCTGTAAACCCTAGCTGGGTCAAGTTTAAAGATCCCAATAGATCAGCAGTTTTTGAATTACACAGACCAGCCCATGTGGCATCAACACAACAACCATGTCATGTTCAAAGTCACTTAAATCCCAGTCTGATGCTCGGTTTCAACTTCAGTAAATCGTCTTCACCAACTCTACATGCCTAAATGCATTGAGTTGCTGCCATGTGATTGACTGATTAGCAATTTGTGTTACCAAGCAATTGAACAGATGTACCTAATAAAGTGACTGGTGAGTGTGCGTCTATATATATATATATATATATATATATATATATATATATATATTCCAAGACTAGAGTACAAGGTAGACAAAATAATACCAAATATGGCTGAGCAATGACAAAATACATTTTGAAAACGGGTTCAATATTAAAGGGACAACAACAAGCATGTTTGACATTATGAAAGTGCTGGAGACAGCAATGGGCTGGTGTAGTAGAGATATGCAGACATACATTGCTGGGCAGTACTGAACCCAAATCCATAATTAATTCCAAGCTAAACTTTTACCAGATAAGATAACTGGGCATTGAAGTACTGCTCGAAATATGACTGAGCATTGCAGTACTGGTATAAATATAACTGAGCATTCTGATACTGGTCTAAATAGAATTATACAATTGGGCATTGAAGTGCTACTATAGCAAACGAGAACAGCAGATAAAATGTAGAGCAAGCCATCCTAGATACTAGGCTGCTACAGAATAATGGAAAAAATTTAACCTAATTCTGCTGAAAGTCAGCTAGAATGCAATCAAACATTTTAAATGAAAACAATTAGAATACCTAGAATAGGTTTTGACTGCTGTCTGTGTCCCAGTAAAGGAGATTCACCCTCTGTGTTTGTGCTGTTATCAACAAGACTGAAAGTGACAAAAAAATCCCAAATTTTGGGTTGTCACCAGAATAGGAATAGCGTGGAAATCTTTCTAATGGATAACAGTTCTGGTGACCCTGGTGACAACCAGGCATTCCATCACTTTGAGGTATTCCCTCTCACTTCCTGTTTTGTATCCTATATACTGTATGGATTTCATGCAATGAACACTATAAGAATAATATATTTTCTAGTTTTCTGGTATTAATATTGTATCTGCACACAGGTCGAATCTTGGACATTCCCTGTAAAGTGTGTGGGGACCGCAGCTCAGGAAAACACTATGGAGTTTATGCATGTGATGGCTGTTCTGGTTTCTTTAAGAGAAGCATTCGAAGGAATAGGACTTACGTGTGCAAATCTGGAAATCAGGTGAGCACTTGTCATGGTTCAATAAATGCATGTAGCTATTGGTGTAAAGTTTAATTAGAAATATGACTAGTAAATAAATACTATAAACCCTGGTGAATTATATTAATAGCAGATCAATATATTCCAAAGTCTACATCATCACGCCTTAAGAATGTAGTCCTGGGAAATACTTATTTGGATAGGAGCTGCTATTATACAACAATAACCCAATATATATGAAATATGTGAAAATAAATAAATATAACCACAATAATAGTGCTCACAAAAATATAACAGAAAAAATAAAATGAAAATTAATATATAAATAGAACTAAATAATAATAATATTATTATTAATCCACCACCAAATGAAATATAATGTGTGGAAAAACAAAACAAACAAAACTAAAAAAATGGATCCTCATTAAAGTCCATTAAATAAAGTCCATATAGAGCATATATGATCTTCATTCAATGAAGCTATGGAATCTTAGACTTTTCCTTCACCAAATAGATAATCCAGTGCTCAACACCCATCAAAGTGAAAACTCACCAGAAACTGGTGAAATACCAGCATATCTTTATAAACTCAGTAGATGTGATAAACTCCGCAGCATATCATTTTTATCAGCTGAAAGGTTCCGATGAACTCCATAGGTCACATGTGAACAAAGTAAAGAACACTCTCCATAGCGTAATACCGTTTCAGAAATTTTATTCCAACAAATTACCCCCATAAAAACCGCACTCACATTATGTCAGTACATCAAAAAGCCTTGTATATTTAAAATCTTTCCCACAGCAGCGTTTAATACACTGCTTCCTGCATACACAGTAGCGTCTCACCAGCCTGCAACAGATAACGCGGGTTGCGGTCACGTGGTTCGGACACGTGATACAGCATACGTGATACGGCATACGTGATGACATCACTGCTGGATCACTTCCTAACGCGTTTCGTCACATGACTTCGTCCTCGTGGCTGGTGAGACGCCACTGCGTATGCAGGAAGCAGAGTATTAAGTGCTGCTGTGGAAAGAAAGATTTTAAATATACAAGGCTTTTTGATGTACTGACATAATGTGAGTGCGGTTTTTTATGGGGGTAATTTGTTGGAATACAATTTCTGAAACGGTATTACGCTATGGAGAGTGTTCTTTACTTTGTTCACATGTGACCTATGGAGTTCATTGGAACCTTCAGCTGATAAAAATGATATGCTGCGGAGTTTATCACATCTACTGAGTTTATAAAGATATGCTGGTATTTCACCAGTTTCTGGTGAGTTTTTACTTTGATGGGGTGTTGAGCACTGGATTATCTATTTGGTGAAGGAAAAGTCTAAGATTCCATAACTTCATTGATTGAAGATCATATATGCTCTATATGGACTTTATTTAATGGACTTTAATGAGGATCCATTATTGAGTTTTTGTTTGTTTTGTTTTCCACACATTATATTTCATTTGGTGGTAGATTAATAATAATATTATTATTATTTATTTCTATTTATATATTTATTTTCATTTTATTTTATTTTTTCAGTTGTATTTTTGTGAGCGCTATTATTGTGGTTATATTTATTTATTTTCACATATTTCATATATAAATATGACTAGAACTACTTAAAGTATGTTCCATAACTTATATAGCCAAAACATTATTTTAGAAACCTTGTTCTGGTGACAACTACGAATTCTAAGAGGGAAAGTTCCCCCACTTCAGGGAGACATTTTTTGTCACTTCTTCTTGTGTTTTTGGGACAGGAAGGAAACAGACAGAAAAATGACATGGGGTAATCATGCCTTACTCTATGCAAAACTAAAAAAAAAAGTTTTGGCTTTAGAAAAACTTTACCTGAAATGAAAAGTATAACAATGTACCAAATGAAAACATTTGTAAGATGAGCATTAAATATACAGTAGAGTATTTTTAACTAGTTATAGATACTGGGTGTGCTACACATGCCCAAAACAACTTCATGTGCATGCTCTGGGCATATGTAGTACATCTGCCCTTCTTTCTCCCCGCAATTCATTAGGTGCATTTACTGGTAATTCCCAGCTGTCATTTTAACAGCCAGGCCTGTTTTATTTATACAGGAGCAGATCTTGCTGGGCCTTTGTAAACTGAAACAGAACAGCGTCCACAGTGTGAAGTAATCTTATTATTTCTTCATTGTAACTCTGGTTTATTCATAGCAGTTCAGAGGAGAGAGGTTTGATCTTTATATGATGTATGATAAAGCAACCTTCCAAATTAAAAAAAAATGTTTCTATTTAACCCCTTAGTTTACCCTAATTAGTCCGAGTTAACTTCTTCCTACCCCTCTTTCTTTACCTTTTATTTTGCTGTCAATTTTTTTGTTAAAGTGTTACTAAACCCACAACAGTACAATCAGTCTGTATATGCAGTAAAGCATGCTTGTTATACTCACTGTGGAACCTAAGGGGTTAATCCTCTGCATTATGTAAAAACACTGATTGATCCTGACTTCTCTGATTCTCCTCCTCTTCCTCTTATTTCCACAATAAGACATATTGTGTGGAGTCACTCTGTACATGCTCAGTTTGGTGGGTATTGCTAGATAGGTTTTTTTTTTTTTTCATGGGAGGATGCATGTGATCAGCACAGGGCCAATCAGCACAGTCCAGACAGAGGTCAGGGGTTCTGCATCCTCCTAGAGCAGATAGAAAACTCCTCCTACAAGCTATAACCAATGCTCAGCTGGACACTGATAGAAGTCACAAGACTGCTCTAACTGCTGATGAGAAAAAAGTATTTAGCAGTTTATATTTACTAAAAAAATTGCATTTCCATGTTCTGTGTACTGTGGGAGACCAGATATAGTGAATGCAGGGTCCTGGGTTTAGTAACACTTTAATGTTTTTTTTCCGTTAATATTTGCATTTTTTTTCCTTTAAATTTGTTAATTAATTTTTTTAGACATGCATGTCAAAAAAGCACAAAATGTAAAAAAAAAATATTTAATTTGTGAATAATTTTGCTTTGTTTTGTAATAGAAATTTTTTTTAGCGTCATTATACATAGGGGAATTTGTAGAATAAGAGTGCACATTTTAGTGACAGGAACACTTGTTTTAAAATAACACTGGTCAAATTATAAAAATTATTTGCTATATCTTTTGTCTATAGATTTAATAGAAAATACATTTTTTTCTAGGCAATAAGGCTTCATTCACGCCGGCCATAAAAAATGCAATTGCAAGCATTTTTTTATTAACGGATCTTAACGCAGCTAACAATGATTTCAATGGAGATATTCACATAAGTCCATAAACTTGCACTGTATTCAGTTCTGTAACACAAAATCCAAAAATCTACATCTGAGGATGTACATATATACAGTATGTATGCCAGATGCAGGTATTGGGGGGGAAACAAACTAGGACAATTTTACGCAATTATTTACTGATCATTATGCAGGACTTTTGTGCTAGAAATACAAACATGCATAATAAGATCAGTAACATTTTTACACCCATGTGAATGTAACCTGAAAAACCTTGTTTGTACAGAAATAAAACAATTTGTGACAAAGTTTTTCCGAATCAATAGGCCCATAACAAAAATATAAATACCTGTATAACCCTGTATACTGGTGTAGGAGCTGTACGGGTTCATTTACTGGCATTCTTTCTCTCAGCCCTGCACTTGTGTATTTGAAGTTGTACCAGAACCCAAGAAAATGGGAATTTATAGGATTCCCTTACACGCCATGCATGTTGGGATGACATTTGGTATAACAACATAGACTGGGATTTTTAGGGCTGGCCCTTCTCAGGTGAAGATGTTGTTTTCTATGCAGAAATTAAAGGTGAACAGGACCTTAGTAATGCTTTGATACGTATTTGAAACATAGAGTGGTATAAGTAAAAGTGCCATACTTACAGGGTTCTCATCATAGATATCCAAGTGTTAAGACTTGCAATACTAATCAACACATTGCACTTTAGCACTCAAGGCCAATAGCTTTCTGAAGGAAATTAGTTTTACAGAGCATAGTGTCTCAATGTCCCAAATGCCATTGCCAAATGATCTTGGCACATTTATCCACCACTGAAAGCAATAAGTCGTGGGATACGTGTGCTCAGAGCTAGGCTTTTTTTTTTCTCTGCTGTACATTTGATAGGTTTTTCTCATGTTTCAGGCACAGTGAATGTAGTTAATAGTGAAAGAAAAGCATCATGATATGATAGTCAGCCTTTCACTTCCACAAGTGCTTACACAAAAGGACAAGTGTGGTGACTCATTTTTCATTATGGGTGTATACAAATATGCTTGAGAACCTTTAAAAAGATAACTATATTGCACATAAGAAAATGTTTTCTTAAATTACCTTAAGCATGCAAATGAGATTTGTTTCACAGAAGCTTCCACCTTTTTGTGCTTCTCTAACAGAGGCTGATTTACTGACTGTTAAAAGGATTATTTTAGCTAGCACATATATGACAGTTGTAGTTCATAATTTTTCTTAACGTTTTATTGACATTTTATCTTTATTCAAAATAGAACATATACTGTTTTATAGTCAATTACGTTTCATAAAGCAAAACATAAGAGAAAATAATATTACAGGTCTTATATACAATGCAAGCAAAATATGAACAGGAAAGGTTTAAAGGTATCATTTGAATTTCGATCCATCTGTGGCCATTCCTGTTCATAAGAAGTCAATCTATCAATAAACGTCTCATAAGCGGTCCTGCTGGAAAGTTTCTATTCGATCAGCGCTCCCATTCATCCTGCTGCAGTGTCGATCAGTGTATTCTGATGGTAAGGAAGTCCAGCTGTCAGAATACAATGACAAAGCAGGGAGGATTCCTGCATCCATAGCGAATGTGTTGAAGGGGGAATAGGGTCCGTTTTTCTTTTTTTGTTCAACCCGCTGGCTGAACGAAAAAAACGGAACCATGTGTGGCCAGCTTAGCTCTTTACTGACACTGACACAAGGGTTACGGCAGAACAGCTGACCAGCTCCATAACTCTTATGACAACTAG